TGGCTGTCTGTGTGGATACACACCCAGTAGTTGCTGTATAACTATTTGTATACACCCACTAGGGCTGTATATCTATCAATATACACTAACTAGGGCTATATCTGCATCTATCTATATGCAACACTTGGGACATATATCTGCCTATATACAACCACTAGGGCTGCACAATATGTGTGAAATTGCATATTGCGATTGCGATATAACTCACATTGCAATATATTTGACATTATGATGTAAGATATAAAGATGTTCCAACATAACTTACACTGTATTCCATATTACAGTATATTCCAGTCCATATTGCTACATATTGCAAACTTACAATATCTTAAAAACACAGTAAACACAGCATTATTTTGTGGACCAAGTAATCAATTACATTTGCTAATTTATCAAAAAACCAACAGAAACTTACTTGGAATATTTGTGATTAGTCAGGATGCCCACAGAAGGAGTGGTGCGATATATCAAAAATATAACATCATGATACTTTAATATATTTTCACGATGCTCGATATGCATAACGATATTTTGTTTTTCTGTGGTTTAAGTTGGAACAATAGTGCCACATTCAAAATATGCCAAAAACTATTAATGCAGTGAGTTTTATTTGACTTTTCATTTATTGTGCTGGGCTAAATCCAGTTAAGCAGGACTAGTAATGCTCTCTCTATTAAACATACCGTTAGCTCGTGTTCTATAAGCAATGACGATATCCACAGAAGGCCGAGAAAAGCATGCATTAACGTAATTTATTATGAATTAAACATCATATGGCACATCCCTAGCTCCCAGCACACAAAACATTCAGTGATTGGTTTGAGGCTTATTAGCATATTGCACTGATATTGGAATTGTAAAGGCTAGCAGTATGATAAAGATTAACAATGATATATTGTGCAGCTCTATTAGCCCTTTTTTATTTCCCTCTGCAAACCTGTTGCTCTTGCTTCTGTTTTTTCTCTCCTTTCCTGCAGTGCAAGTGCACTACATATACACACACACAAGAAGTCACAATAGAGGTGTGTGTGGTAGTTTTAATGAAAGCAATTGTAATTGTGGACAGGAACAAAAGTCATGCTCGTCATAACAGTGATCTTTGCGGGACCACACCACGTAGACTACTTTACCCAGCGTTCATTTCAACCTATAAATACTCTCGAGAGCAATTCGACACTAAACACTAAAGTCTGACCAGTCAGGACGGCTTCTGTTAATCTGGTATGTTGGTTCTGGTCAAACATGTCATTTTGAAGCCACAGACTATTTGTGGCGGATGTTTCAATCTTTGCACGAGTCACAAGTTTAACTTCAAACACAGATTGGAGGACCTTTGGACGACGCCATATGGAAAAACACTTGCTTTTGCACAGAGAAGTGTGACTCATTTTGGCGGAGCCCATTTTGATGGAATGTGCTTGATATATGTGTTGTTTTGGTCAAAAAGGTAGCAGTCCAAAGTGCACTTCGCTCTCTGTTTCTCTCTCTCTTCCCCTCTCTTTATGTCCTCTTCTTCTTTAAAGCTGTCTTTCTGGCTTCTGCCAAAAACGACTCTTAACGATGTGAGACCAAAGCACACTCACTAAAATATACAGGACAGAAACATGCAGGGACACAAACACAGTGAAGATGGCCTGAACAGCATTTCACAGGCTTCTAACACCAAAACGCTGGTATTTCTGAACGAGTACTTGAATACTTATTCTCAAAACCACTCTAAAAATAATATTTATGTTTCATAATTAACCATAATCGTTAGTCAATTTAAGTTTTTAAGTTTGTTCATTACTGCCATTCAAAATATATCCAGTGGACTACAAAAATATATTAAAGGAATGGTTCGGCAAAAAAGTGTAATTTGCCTAAGTTTCACAATTTTGACACATTTACACAGTTTTCCGCTTCATAACACAATTCTCATTTTCCCCCAGAGTCTGACTCTCTTTTGTGTGCACGGAAATCACACAATGGGTGCTAGATTATGTTTGCGGTTTTTTGTTGTTTCAATTCCTAGACACTTATCTTCAGTTCAGAAATTCAAGATTAATAGAAACAGGAATTGTAAATGTGATCTGTAGCGTCCGTATGCCTACTGATCTGTGTGTGCAAATCGGCGTCTGTTTCACAATCTGTTTAAAAGTCATGCTGTGTCCTAAACCACATAGACAAGTCAAAGCAGCTTTAATGAAGAGCTGGACGCGATTTTGTGGATGTATTTAGAGAAAAGATTTGGGTGACTATTGACTTCTAGTGTTTGTTACATTAGCCTCATAGCTCCGGCACTAAACAGAAAAGGCAAAATTTGGACACCAAACATGTCTTGACTGATCGTATTGTGATCGTAAGTTGTGTAAAATTGTGTGAATTAGATTTTTTTCCAAACCATTTCTTTAACACCACACCTGAAATGAGCAGTGGTTAACTGCATGTGTCCTACTCGCTGTATTTACATTTTAGTGCAAAGTTAGCACTGAGCAATTTTCTTACTGTCTGATAAATTAAAACGTGATTCCTGTAGTGTTTATTTGGATTCAACGTCATGGAAAGCGGTGTAGTTTGCTGCAGTCAGAGGCGAGGTGATGTGGATGACCGGAAAGAATTCAGCATTGCTGTACGATCTTTAAAATCAATTTAGAGCTCAGCATAACAGAAAGAACACCATTTCAGTCAGTTTAGACCACAGGACCACTGTCAGCTGGATAAATGGATTCTGGATTACTATACAGTATACAAGATGACTCAGTTTTTCACCCCACCAATCTGCTCAGAGTCCTTTAATATTGAGTCAGATCCAGTGTTTGTGTTTATAAATAAATATAATAAATGATATAACTGCAGAATTTAGGTAAAATTGTGCTAATCTGCTAATTAACACTACATTAAAATCAGATCATTTTTAATGTGTGCATAATTCTGGACATTCTGGATGGATATGCTTTGTTTTAGCCTCCATTTTATAGTGTGTTTAATATTGGCTTGTGATCAAATTTAAATGTCTGATCAGCAGGTTGTAAAATAACATCCTTTACAACAATGAAGTGAATGTAGCACAAAAACAAAACAAAGGATCCAAACTGGAGCCGATACCCAATCAATTAAAATATGCTTAGATTAGATATGTCTAAATGTAATACCTCTAATAGTAGTAGAGTTTTTATTACTATAAATCTTCAATCTATTTTAAGACTTTCGAACACTTAGAATTCTAATACATTCGATCCAATCAACTACACCAGTTATAATTGAGTACTTATCAACATTTTCCATATATTAACAAATTTCTGTTCAATCTAAAGGAATTAGCTGATTAACTTTAGTGTGATTTAAGCAACAGTTTTTGTGGCTTAAAAAATACTACATAGAAAATTAATGCCAGCGTAATGAACGTATATGCAAGTACTCAAATTACATCTGCCTGCCGAATTGGGCTGCACATAAAATCACATTTGAAAGCCTATAATAATGCAATAGTAGTAAAAATGAAAGTGATAAGCACTTTCATTTTTACTGGACAGCACTTAGTAAACATAGCTGCAACATGAGTTTACTGCTTGACTCTCACTTCTTCAGATTTAGATGTCAGTGTCATGTGACCATGGATAGTTGCGCTTGCATATACAATTACACATATTATAGCACTTAGGAATGCACTAATTTGTGACACAAAGCAAGTGGAACTAAAAGTCATTAGCCAAGCGAAAACACAGAGGAGGATAGAGGAAGAATGAACACATGACAGATTTAGAGAGGAGAGTGGGCGGGACATTTCGCTGACTTTACAGGTTCGGTTTTGTTGAACCCAGCAACGAAGTAAGTTAAAAATAAGGACTTTGGCAAGTTTATACAAGACTATACAAAAGGGCTACTATACATACCACCTGTGGGTTTCAGTTTGGCTGCAACACTCATCCTACAGCTTATGTACTTACATTTCTTCATCTCGGCAGGCCATTATGCTGTACTTTAACTCTTTAATGCTGAGACAGAAAGCGTCTATTTCTGCTTTTTTAACCACTCTTCTCATTTAATACTGTGTTTTTTTAATGTTAGTTAAATTTTATAAGTGACTAACATGATTTAACAGACAGAAAAGTATCGATTTGCATCACAAACCAAACTTTTGAACATGAAAACAAACGCATAGGAAAATACTTCACACTTCATTTGCCTTTTATTGTTACTCTGATGAAACTAATCAATAATAAGCCATCAGTGATGTGAATTCCGCTCTGTGGGTGTTCGCTCAGAAACTGACGCCGTGCATCCAGCAGTATGGGCAGCACGGTACGAGTCTCTGAATGAGTCACATCACCAACATTTGGTTAGACAGGGTTTAATGCCACTCGCGTCTATTTTTCTTTTTCATAACACAAATGTACATGTTTTTCTGAAATTAAACGCTGATATGGCTTTCATGCGGTTTTGTTGAATCGCGTCAACGGTGATGTGACATTTTGAAGCGGCGAGAAAGCCAGCTAAGCATGTTCAGGCAGCCTTACACAAATGGTATGAATCATCTAGCTAAACGTGCTCTGAGCAACCATGAGGAACGTAGGCTGTGTGTATTCAGCCTTTACAAAGCAGACATTCTCGCGCACACGTCCCCACAGACAGCACTCAGGAAATAACTACACTCATGTCTAGACCTTTAAAAATGTTTGTGCCAACCCTGAAATACAAAATACAAATCGTCACTATATATATATATATATATATATATAGATATATATATATATATGTATATGTATAAAAATATAAAACCAGATTGAGAGCTGTTACCAGAGTTCACCAGTTGTGGTGATGTGATGATGTGACAATTTTCAAAAAGTGTGGACGAGCCCCATTAGATGAGTTTGGGTATTCATATATTCGAATAATACATAGATATGTCTGGTTAATAGCAGATCTTCGGCGTCCTAGCATTGACGCCTGTACCTTCAATTCATCCTCTAACCTCTAACTCATTTCTTCATTTTTTTCTACCCTCTTTTCAACCCTAGCTAACAGTGACCACCACGCCCACTCGCTCAGCGTCTCCACCCCCCACATGTCCTACATCTGCCCGGAGGGGGCCAACGTCACACTGGTGTGTGCTCAGTCCGGAGCCAAGGCCCACCCCGCTGATCACCTGCAGCACGTCTGGCTCTTCACGCCGCACATGGACCAGCCGTGTCACCCCCGCGAACACCCGCGCCTCCATGGCAAGACAGGCCATAGCAACCACTCGCTGGGCGTGGTGTACGGAGCACAGCCAGAGTCATTCTCTGTCACACTGCTGGATGTGACGGCCAATGACCAGGGCAGATACTGCTGCCTCGCTCTGGACGTGCTAGTAGACCACAAGATCGGCCGAGTGCAGCAGTCAGCACACAGCTACTTAATGCTGACTGTTACAAAACGTAAGAGAGAAAGAGAGAGAGAGAGAGAGAGTGAGAGAGAGAGAGAGCTTGTAAGGATGGCCACACCAGATTGAGTGCAACAGACAAGGTCTCAGCATATGGGTCATTCTCTATTTGGTTTTGGTTTTGTGATGAGCTGTTTTATATATTCAGAGCGTCTATGAAACAGGATAAAAAAAGAAAAATCTGATAAATCATAAGGGAAAAGTATTATTTAATCATAGGTCAACTGTGTAAATGTACATACTGACTTTTGGAGATGTATCTAATATTTTAAGCATCTTTTTAAGCCCTGCAGCCTTTGTGACATGGTTTCCCCTCCAAATGGAGAATGACCCATATATTAAACCTCAAAAATCTATTGGAAAAGCACCCCAGGTGGCACCCCCAGGTGTGCACTATGCAGTATACTTCAAACAATGTTTTAAAGCAAAACGTCTTTTTTGGCCAATATCTTTTGAGAAATAGATTTACAGTTATACATTTGGTATTAGGCTATCCAAAACAACTGTAATCATATTACGAAGTTGTGAATGTAGCGTTAGAAGTCTTACTGGTGGTTACCCATGCAGGGAATCAAACCCTAGTCTACAGCGGTATTACCCACTAAACTACACCGACCAAAATGTACCATATTGACTAGATTGAAGATGTTTCCAATTGATTTTTTCCATTCAATTGGCCCATACTGGTACCAATTTGATTTTCTTCTTTAGAAACCACTAAGCTATTTTAGTTTGATGGACTTCATTTAAGGTGAGCATCTATATGCAGGCCATCATGTACAAACTACTAATTCTACTACCCCATAGGAAGAATTACACAACCAACAACATCACATTACACAATGTTCAGGACAGAGTTATTACAGGACTGTGATGGATTTGTTCTTTATTTTCCCTGCGATATCCAATACAGCATTTTCTGCACGCATTGACCCAGTACTGATATCGGATCAGTGTCATCTCTGGTGTGTGTGTGTGTGAGAAAGAGGAAGATTGAAGTACCAATATGTATAACATTTATAGTGTCTTTATGTCATATGCATTAAGTTCACCATCGTATGTTATTTCACAGGTGGAAATAATACTAGTGGGAAGTGCATACAATACGACTACAAGCCCTCACAAGGTACACTGAACTCATATGCCTCTTCACAATGATGCAGCAAGAAAAGAGTTTTGGTAGCACTTTACTGCTGCCTACCCTACTATATAACCATGCCATAAATGTCACAGCAGATGCCATATGCTGCCATGAATTGTTATGAAAAATTATGGAATACAACAATCTTGTGTTACCATTACTGTCATAACAGCTGTCATCATGTTTGATGTCATGATGGCTAACTAGATGTGCATAAGCTGTTACGGCAACATTTATCATCTGTCATGAAACCTTAGTTACTGTTGCAATGTTTGTCAAAACTTCAGCTGAGGCTCTGAAACACTTGCTAAGAGGCTAAGGCTGTGTTCACACTACAAGTCTCATTGCTCAATTCAGATTTTCAGATCAAATCTGTGATTAATGTCAACAAACCTGTCACCTCAAACGACCAGCATGCTCACACCTTAATCAATAATGTCATATGAATGAACTACATGCATCATGAACAACAAACTAAACCAGCAGAACACGCCTCTATCAACAATTCTGTACAGTTTACTGCCACCGGCGTTCTTGCTGCAGGTTTGTTTTGAGGAGTTTTGTTAGAGTTGTCCTTTCGCTTTGAGGAAGAAGCGACCTTTAGAGACAAATGACAATTTTGACAATCATAATTTTGCAAAAAGTAAAGTACCGGCAATGATAGCATGACGGTGTTATGTTGCTGAACAAACTGGAATGCATATGACATCTGCTTTGACATGTTTATTGCCTGGTAATGTCAGTTTTATATATCAGAGTTCAAGCAAAGTGTTTTGTTCATTTTCCTTATTCATCATCTGTAGGCTCAGTGGCTGCAGGTTTGGCGACAGCTGCATGCATTATGGGTATTCTATGTCTGCCTCTTATCCTGGTGCTGGTGTACCGCCAAAGACATGGAGTGCACGGGAGCCGACGTAAGTTCATAAACAAAACGCACACAATTACTTCCTTAAACATCAATACAAAGGAGCCCCATGTGAATAAAAGCACTGTGCATTATCTGGGCCTGAGCTCAAAGCTCTGTCTGCATGTATGTTTGTTGGCTTCACATCCTGTACAACACTGCGGGCGTGATATATTTCCTGATGTCGTACAATGACCCATTTCTCCTTCCTGTCTCACACAGGTGCACACGAGCTGGTCCGAATGGACAGGTGAGTTCCCACAGCAACCAAAGCAGCTGGACCAACTCACATGGACTTGTTGTTGTTGTTTAAAGAAATAGTTTGGGGAAAATTAGTTCTACACAATTTCCCCTTTATCCCTTATGGAGTTGGTCAGCCAAGACTTTGTTTGTTGTCTGAAGTTTGCTTCTTTAGTTTTGCACTGGAGCTATAAGGCTAGTGTTGCTAACAAGTTACAGATGCTTATACTATAACAAATTAGTATCTTCCAAACTGCATGTCTAAATCACTGCATATTAGCCTCAAATTAACTGCTAAGAAATCTCAAGTAGACTTGCTTATGTGGTTTCTGACACTATGTGACATACAGGGCCCCGATGACGGCCGCAAGAGCCGACAGGAAGGCGGGGCCCAAATTCTGAGCCCAGACGAAACCCTGTGAAGATGGTGGGGGGAGGATTAAATCTGCAAGGGAGTGCAGAACAGGAGGCGGGGCCTGGGCGGCGTGGGTTTGTGACTTGCACACCATACCCCACTCCTTTCGCGGATTTCCTCTCCCCGCAGTCCTTGCAGGGCTTAGTCCTCTCTCAGCTTCAGGCCCCGCCTTCCTGCCGGCTCTTGCACTCGTCATCAGGGCCCGGGAAATGGCCGCATGCCACACTTGTGTTGTACTTTTTTCTATTTTTATAGATAACAGTATGTCATATTTTTAGGCATGCAGTTTGTGTGATGCTAGATTATAGGGGCTTAAATCTTTACACAGTAGCCATAAAATGCCATTAACGCCTTTTTTGGAGGTCCCTAGCAGCAGGGGGTTCTCACCCCCTTTTCACCTGTCATTGCTCACTAGCAGCTCAACACAGAGTCACAACAATTCACACACAGACAGCCAACAGTGCCTTAGTTAATCTGATAACAGAGTTAATATTTTATTTTATGATATGAATTAAAAATAAGTTATTTTACATTCTTCCAGCGTAACTGCCTTTGGGGGCCTACAGGACGAGGCTACTCTTTCACTACTGCGTTAGCTACATTAGTCCTGTACAAAAATAAAGATGCAAACACGTCCTGGCTGACCAGCTACATTTGAAAGGGAAAAATATGTAAATTAGATGTTTTTGCTGTTACTTTAAGAATACTTTTCTGTGCCTTCTCTTTCTTCATTCTCTCTCTTTTCTGTCTCTGTTTCTTCAAGTGAGGCCCACGGGCACGAGAATCCTGTATTTATGGGAGGTTCCCCTCAGCCCAAAACCCGGACTGTGTCTCAAATTCTCACTCGCCAGTCATCTGAAACTGGACGCCACCTACTGTCAGACCCTGGAACCCCCTTTACTCCAAGCACACATGGTGATGTGTTCTTCCCTTCACAAGGTAGGAGACAAAACTCCCACACACCTTTTCTGCATTGTATAATTTTATATACTTTGTTTGGTGCCACATTAAGCACAAAGAAAGCAAATACAAATGAACAGAACACAGCAATACAGTAATACAGTTACTTGGTTAATCATTATAGGAATAGTGAAATTGTTGTTCGGGTATTCGGAATGTTGCACTTTGGGAAAACAAGCCAACAATTCAGTGAAGTGCAGATCTGATCTTTTAACAAAGCTGTAAAATGTAACAGTTTTGCTCATTGATAATAAAAAATGGAAGTGCCTTAATGTGAGCGAGTTCACAATATCAGCAATATCTCAAACCAGAGTAAATATGACAGCAGATGTTAGCTAGAACCAGAGAGAATTAATAGATATTTCTCTGCTCCCAGTATTACCTAAACTAACACGTTGGCATGTAAACCTCTGAGGAGAAAATCTCATGTAGAAGACAGTGTCTCACCATCTACTGCTTAGCTCTAGGGTTAGCTCATTAGCTCACTTGACTGATTTGAGCTAATGAGCTAGTGTTAGGGGGCAGCCTCTGTCACTCAAGCCTTGTCCTCATGCTCAAGAAAGCTCAGTGACCCACAGTGACTAAAAGTAATGATGCATGATGGTATTGACCAACAACAGACAATGACCGATAATACAAACAACAAAAAAAGAGAAAATGTACAAAACTGAATTTTCTATTTACAAGCTGGCATTGCTAGAAGACGGTACTTCTAAAAAAATTTAATAACAAAAAATAAATATTAAACCTTCCGTAAAAATAAAACTGCTACACTATTGGTATCAGTATGTGTATCAAACAGTGTTTTTATAAATAATCAGTATCGGTTGGCAATTTTCACTTATTTGTGATTAACAAAATGTTTTCACTGTAAACCTCTTGCTAAATTTCCATAAAAGCTGTTCCATTTCATTGGCAAAGGAAGTTTTCATGTTTCTTTCATACAGCCATACTCCCTATGAACACACCCTATGACAGGCTTAGTATACAAACTCTGTCTATTCATAGTTCTCAAGTGTATAAACATATAACCACAGCTGCCAAAGAAAGATAAGCATAATAAGTTTGGATATAAGGATCTTCAAAATGGTAAGAGAGGGCAAAGGTTTTAACTTTTAATTTAAGGCAAATAACTTTTAAGTTAATGTAACACAAAGTAATTTTGTACCATTTCTGTTGGTCCATTCATCATGCAATGAGTCAGTGTTGACACAAAATAAAGAAGCTGCTGTTAAAAAAATACACGTTGATATGACAGCAGTGATATGTAAATTATTCTAACACACAAATACAAATCTCATTTCCTTCTCTGCACAATTCTGCTGCACACCACACAACATACGCATCTTCCAAACTCCGTCCTGTGCCAAAATAAGCCAAAAGTAGCTGAAAAACCGCACACAAGCAGAGTCAGCTCATTGTAGGCGGGGGGAGTAGCTGGAAGTGTTCTGGTTCAGCAGAAGTGCGCGATAGAGGCTTGTTTGGACTGTGGAAAATGTAGCCTACAGTTCAATACATGCCAGTATACACCCTCACAAACACTCCTCTATGCATGCTGGGGGAGAGAGCAGCATCTCCCACACACAGCTGTAATCCTACACCATCCACACTGCCTAGATCTGTCACTTCACTACAAGACATGAAACATCTGGATACTGGGAGGAGACACACTCACACTTGCTTTATACAGAGCATGGGGTCATATGCGGTCTATATGTATTAGATATACATGCAACAACCATAATACCCCCGTGATCAAATTACATGTTTTTCTGATTTTCAAGGTGAAAGTAAGGTAACACATTCTCTACAGGGACCAAACTTGGAATTTTTCAGCTAATTTCAGTGGAAAAAAATCTAACATAATATAAAATGTGCCATAACTTTTGTACAGGCCACATTTTATGATTTGTGTTACCTTCAGCAAATAAACATTAATAGTGCAATTTCACCAGGGGCACTAAAATGTTTGCATTTGTATCTGTACTAATGAGTCCCATGTCCCATGTGTATTATATATTACCTAGATTTAATAATAACAAACCTTGCATATATATATATATATATATATATATATATACAGATATTCAGTTTTATGAAATGGTACAAATTCAGGACCATTTTTCTTTGCTCTGTTTTTCTGTGGTTTTCCTGCAAAACAGTACTTTTGTCCTGAAATTATTCAAAAACAAACACACACACACACACACACACATACACACATTGCAGATTAAAAGCTATATAAGGAAGTCTGCAGCTTCACTACCATTTCTTTTTACTCATGATTGTCATGTTCCCAACACACAACACACACACATCCACAATCCTCACACCCGCACACACGCACACACACACACATTCCATTGATTCCCCATTGAATTCCTCTGTTCCTTAAGCAGCAGCCTCAGAACCCAGCGCTCTAGCAGAATACACACACACACACACACACACACACACACACACACGTGCATGCTCACTTGAACAACATCCATCCTAAAAACACAGATGTTCACTCAGACATAATAAGTCATTTGTTAATCATGTTGGCATTTACAGTACTGATATCATGGTTGGCTGCAATATGCAAATGTTCTTCTCTGTGTGCTGTGAACATCCTGACCAATCACAGTTCCAGATGAATGTTTCTGTCTGTTGATGATGCAATGCTTGCTTGTAGTCCCACAGAGTTCAGGGGTAGACAGACACAGTTGTAGTCAAAAATTTGGGTACCCCCTGAGTGAAATAAGTGAACAAGTTCTCTACAGAGAACACACTTCTGCTCATTTTAATGCACAATTACTGTTTATTTAACTTATTGGAAAAAATACATAAATAAACGTGGCCTGTGCAAAAGTAGCAGTTTTTTAAATATTTTTTTTTCCCGAATATGTTAAACCCAGCAAATAAATTATGCAAACGATGTCATTTTAAGTTTGTTTCCTATAGCGTGTGTTATGTTCACTTTGAAAATCAACAGAACATGTAACTTGATTGATAGTGTTCAAATTTTTGCATACTTCTGAGTGTATGGAACTTTGTACTCGCCACTCAAGCCAAAGTCTTTTTTAAGTTGGCCATATTGGCTTGGTGGGCCAAGTGGCCAGTACAAATTTTGTGGCCAGTGGCTATTATTAAAATTGTATTTACAAATAACAAACCCGCTTCAGTACCTAAAACAAGCCAAACATTTCTTTGAAAAGAGAATATTAAAAACTTAATTAAACATTAATTAGAACATTGCCACGTTAGGTATCGTTAACATTACGTTTCGCAAATTCTGATCTGATGCAATTAGTTCAGAGTCTGACCAAACAAGCTCTTGATCTGGTGTGGGAGGGTGTAAAGTAGTGGTTTTGTTATTAGTGGTGAGTATTAGTGAATGTGTGAAAATACTTGAGGTTAAAAAATCTAGGCAAGTTGGCCACAGGCTCTGCATTTTTAGTAGCCACAAGGTCATAATGTTGTGGCCAAGGGCACAAGACAATAGGCAGTGATGACCCCTGAAAAGTTATTTTGGTGAAAATGTAATCTTTAACTGTCTTACATAATTGATTAATTCAATTTTATGTATTACTACAAACAGGACTTCAAGACAGTTCAGGAAGAAAATAAGAAATAGTGTTTTACCCAGAACAAAAACAAACCAAAACAAAAATGTAATTATATTGTACATGATAAATAATGTTTTTTAGTTCTCTGTGGCCCCCAACTTTACCAGAATGTAATTATTATTTATACATTTACACTACCAAATCTCTTTGCATCAACAACATGTACTTGCATGCTTGAGTGTCAGTAGCTAAGGATGACTGTCAGTAGCTGAGGAAGGTAGCTAAAGCTGCGTTGTACCATCACCAGGATATCTGACCACTATCAGTACACAAACTATGATTGAATCTAGGTAATTTGAGCTTTATTATAAACATTTTCTTATGTTACATTAAAATATGGGTTAAACCAGGGGTGTCAGACTGGCTTCCTTCTGGGTCACAGCTCTGCGGAGATAATTTCCCTCTTCGAGCACTTTGAGCGCAGCTTATGAAGGTCTTTCTAATGAGCTGATGAGTTGAATCAGGTGTGTTTAGGAGGTTGAAAGCTAAACTCTGCAGAGCTGTGGCCAAGAGGGAGTTATCCTGTGTTACATAGATAATCGAGATAATCATAGACTTGTTTGTCGTTATGCTCTCGTTACACGGTCTAAGGGTAGGGAAAGTGCAGACCTACGCCCTCTGCTGGCTGCGTTCTAAACATTTTGAATCCCTATTGATTTTGCCATAGGGAAACTTTTAATAATGGATCAATAATTACTTATCACTGGCGAAACTTTGTAGGATGTGTGATAGTGATATCACCCATGCGACAGACTGCCAGTTAATCTTTTGGAACATTCATACAATGTCAAATGTTAAAGCAGTAAGCCACAAGAGGCCAGGGGAAGGGTGTTCTTGATGCGTAGCTGAGAAATGGTGACAAACATAAAATATGATAAAACGTTAATATGATAATATGATAAAACGTTCGCTAAATAAGTACTTTTTGGTGACCAAATTACGACGAGTCTTATTCAGCACCAATCCAGCACCGTCCCTCTTCTCACGCTGGTGCTGAATCTCAATTAGCTTCCTGCTCCCTACATAGTGCACTACATAGGAATCTAAATACTGGATCCTGCAGCCCAACAGTGCATAATATAGATAAAAAATAGTCATTTGAGACTCAGACACATCCAAACTCAACAAATAGTGCACTACTTGGCTATAGAGACTAGAATTTTTAGATTTCCGTACTTAGCACACTATTTAGGGAGTAAGGAGCCTTTTAGGGTTCAGCCTGGGTTTGGCACTACTTCTGAATTAAGCACAAACATTTGAAGCATGTAAGTCATTCAAGTGGCATTCTTTACACTTTTCTATTGCTGTTTTACAGTGAATTGTATTGTAGATACTTTAAATTAAGCCTGTGGGTAATGATGGGGTTGTTTAGCATGTTTGCTATCTTTTAGCTAGCTGACCAGCCTACTTCTAATTAAGAAAATAAGTTGCCAGCCAGATGTGCGTATATCATGTATTTCACCATGGCTTTGAACACGGCTCAGCCAATCAGATTTTAGGACCAGAACTATTAGTTTTATAATACAGAATATGACGTATGTTGTACAACCTATACGTGCAGCTTATCCAATTCATTGTTAGCCTATACAAACAGCAGGTGGTGATTTGAGCCCTTTTCTTCTCTATGCTAAGCTAATGAGGTCTCTCAGCTACATTTTGGAGCAATTTACTGATTCACAAAACACTACAAGCGCATAGCTTATGTTTGTCTGTGTGAACATGCTTTTATCAATACAAACACAACCGTCACATTTAACAGCTTTTCAGACCTACTATTTTATTAGATTCAGTCTACATGCTACCTTAAAAGAACAGAATTAGCCTGTTAGCAGTTTAGGAACACTGTGAGGTTGGAGCACAAGAACAGAAGTGTACAAATAATAGTTCTGCCTGGAGCAAAAAGATTTTCTATTCTGTTTCTGAGCCCTGAGTGCAAAGCTTATCACAACCACAATATCTAGCAGCATAACTGCGATATTGATATCTAGTCTATATGATGCAGCCACCAGCACAATCAGCAGACAGTCATGCTGAAACAGCTGTGATTCACTCCGGTATGTGTGGGCTCTGCTGCACTTCACTGCTATGTCTCTACAGGACCTCTACAGGAGAGCAAAGTGTCCCCACCTCTCCCCTGACCTTTCACTCTGTGCACTTTTTCACAACTGCAGTTTCCCCTTTTTTGACCCCTGTTTCACAACACTCGCTTCTGCTTTTCTCTTGTTCCTGTAAGCCCTTCTGGGAACTGGCGTGTGTATGTGCGGCTTTTCAGCTGTTGCTACACGCGTCTGATAGCGCTACTACTGCAACATACATGACGCGACTCAACTCTGTAGAGCTGCCCAGAGAGCTAATTTTCAGTCACTGCTGAGAAATACACTACAAAGAAAGGTAGATCTCGGACTGAAATACAAAACCACGAACCGCTGAGACCAAACTAGCATGTGCGCTGGTGTTAGATGGTAGATGTAGCAGTATCAGTCTGTTCCTTAATAGATTCCTTGAGCACTGGCACCTGTGGCAGTCATATCCACTCTCACTACTGTCGTTTTGCTCTTCTATCAAATGTAATTATTAGTGATGTCAAGGTTAACACATTAGCAGCACACTAAAACGTTAATTTATTAACAGCATTATTTTTTTTTTAATGCCATTAATGCATTTTCTAAGTTTGACCCTTCTAACCATCCATAGTTCCATCCTGAAGCCCAGCAGCTTGCGCACTGTTGCTATTCAAACACAGCTATTAAATGAAAAGAAGTTTCACTGATAAAACCAGTGGTGTATTTGTTTATCACAGAAGGACGTTGAGACTTTAGTAAGCAAAACACAGCACTGATGTGGGCAATATCGATAAAATCAACAACATTAGCACTAGAGGACACCTTCAGCAAACTACACTGGACAGTGCTTGTGGAAAAACTATGGCTAAATGAACAAGCAGCAAACTAACAAAAGCAACACTAAAGTGTAAAGCTACCGTTCCCCTCAAAACAAGATGTAACAGCGGTAAAAGTGTTGTGGAGTGTTAGCCACATGTAGCCACTGTTTCTCTCAGATGACACTGATGATGAAAATTGGAAACAAATTGGAAATCAATAGAAATTCTGCATTAAAATATGTCAGAAAATGCCATGTTTGACCCGTGTAGAGGATGTGTTAACTTAGTTTCGCATAGAAAAGCAACCAAATGCAATACGCCTGGGGGTGTTCAAACGTTTGCATACGACTGTAACACTGCTTTTTAAATGGACCAGTCTTTCTTTAGGGTCAATTTAGAGTAAATAAGACAACTGTGATTAATTGTGATAAACTGAACAAATAAATGCAATGAATTTTAGACTGACAGCTGTAATAATTATATTATTACATAGTTAATTTTGTAGTTACCAATTACATTTACATTGTGTAGCAACAGGCTGTGCTTCTGGCATTTTCCATTTGTTTCAATATCAAGAAATAACAGAAACATGGCAAAATTTACAGGACAGTTTTTCTTTCTGCTGAACAAGCCTGCATACATGAGAATAACTTTTCATATATTCAAATGTCTCTGCTTGTTTTAATAAGCTATAAGTGAGAAATGTGTATGAAACTAAATTGGAAATTGGAAGGCAGTGGAAGTTCACTAAGCATATGTAGCTACCATAACTAGCTAGGCTACACAAACTGACTTGACTAGCCAAGCCTTCTAGTTGTTATGTGCACAACACTGTTTTTTCTGTGATGATGTAACTATGAAGATATTTAATGGTTCAGTTCAGCCATGTTGCAGCAATTATCCCCATTGTAGTTAGAGTGCCACATCACTGTATTGGTCTGGCTCAGTTTAACGCTTTATATGCATAGTTTGTGATACTCTTTGTGTACTGCATTCATTCATATATGTTTGTTTACCATATGCATTCAGTAATATAATGTCCATGATGCCTCAATTTCACCAAGACCAATTTCTCAATTTACAAGAGCCAAAAAAATGAATTCTGATTCTGATGTGTTTTAATTTTTTTTTTTTTGCAGAGCCGATCCCTGAGTCACCTGACTTCATGCAGGTGTAGGATGGAAGATTCCACAATCTGTTCTTTCTCAGCCCTCTGGAAGTGCCCTGTGTTTTTTTCTTTTCCCTCCACTTCATCCCTCTATCTTTCCTCCCCCGCTTCTATGACTAGGGGAGAAACACTTACTCTAGGGGAACATGAAGATTTCCATGAACATTTTCCACCTGCAACAACAGCCAGAGGCCACGAGGAACCTCATCTCACCTGCTTTACGTTGCAGTGGGGGCGACTGCACCTGTCCAGTGACGACACAGACTGAATGGAATGTTCCATAACGGAGAGTTATGGGAGTGGTTTTAAAAGAAAGATGCAAAGAGTGAAACAGTGGTCATTACTTTCGGCGTAGATAGAGATAGAGAGAGATTGAGTGTTTCACTTTTTCCTGTTTCTCCAATTCTGTGGTTAGTCACTGAAAGTAAAACCATTGGATGCACATCATAGTTTAGGGGTGGGCAATGTGATGATATCATTATCAAAGTATGTTACATCATTATAAGTTTTTGTGGCCTTATATAGAGTGTCGGCAGAACAGCTTGCATGCTTGAAGAGGCTGCCAATTGGCATGGCTGTGTAAAGGGTTCGCCCTGTTGTCTGAGGATTGTTAGACGGCAAGAGAAGAAAATTTGTACTGCCTTTGCTTTATTTTTGCCAAATTTTTGTCCCCAGATGGTTATTTCCAATCACAGGCTAGGTACCCCTATTACACAATGCTTCTAAGCTGGGAGTGTGAAGGCTAAACAAACCCTCCTCATGAAGTGCCACCCCTTTTTTTCAACACTCAGGTGGCACTGCTTGTGCATTGCGACTGCTCCAACTTCAAACCTCAATGGTCATTGTTTATTGTCAAAATGTCTTTGAGGATCATGATGCTTTCTGACATTTTGCCCACCCCTAGTATAGTTAGGCCTTAATTTTTTTCATCATATAGCTGAAGACGCCTCAGAGCATCCATAAAACCTGCACTTTAAAGTTCTCTTCTTGTCTTTGCTTTTTTTTTCAAAGTACGTTCTGACTAGGCCTGTCACAATTATTTAAGCTGACTGCAATTATTTTATCATTTTATTTTAAGTATTTTTCATGGCTTTGAGACAAATGCTTGCATTTGCATGAAAGAAAGCAGAACATGTATTTCTGAGACGTCATGAGTCTTAGGAAAACAACAAAAGCTAAATTTCATGACTGTGACAGGCCTAGTTCAGACTTCCCTCCCTCCCCTTTCAAGCCTCATATCCCAAAGTGAGTGCCTCAGTAATAAAGAACCATGCGAGCGGAATGACGGGCCATTACGCCGAACATCTCCCCCTGTTGTCTGGTGCTTTCCACATAGTAGCACGTGTGTTGTGTGTCAGTGAAACACGCTACACACTCTTAATGTGTGTGTTTGTAGCTCTGATGGTAAGTTTTTATTTTTATCACAGTCAAAACTGCCACAACTGCCAAAGAACTTGCCATTCTTAGCTTTAAAACAATGAAAGAATATAGGTATATGTAAGGTTTTTATAGCTTTTATATTGTATTTTTATAATGCGAATTCTTATGTGTGTGAGTGTGTATGTGAGTACAAAACCTTCAGCAGAATCTGAAACTTATTTCACAGTGTAAAGGGTTATGTACTGTTAATCATTTATTGGGCAATCAGATATTGGGCACTTTTTTAGATGGATGGATGATTGGCTGATTGGATGGACAGTGATCAATGGCGGATCCAAAAATGTAAATGATTGTATATTAGGTGTATTATTTTTGCCTGGATTGCTTGTGGATACGGTCGATATGAAAAAAATGGTCTTATTAGTATTCAGTTGCAGCCCAACAGAGCAAGCCTCAGGCTGGGCAAAGTCAGCTTAGGTGGAAGAAACCGCATGGGTGGAAAAAGCCCCAGCTTGGGCGGAAGAAGCCCCAGCTTGGGCAGAAGAAGCCCCAGCTTGGGCGGAAGAAGCCCCAGCTTGGGCAGAAGAAGCCCCAGCTTGGGCGGAAGAAGCCCCAGCTTGGGCGGAAGAAGCCCCAGCTTATGCAAATACTGGCAAACTAGCTATCTGGCTAAAGCATCAGTGAGGTAGCTTACAGTAATGTTAGGTAAAGCATTTAAGGTTAGGGTTAGATCCTTTAATATATGAGTGTTAGGATTAGAGATAAGTTTATACACCCCCAACCAAGTTAGCTAGTTAGTTAGTGATATTATCCAACTTCATTTTAAAGTCTAACTACAAATCTAACTACAGCACACTTTTTTTTTTTTTGCCCTGTTTTTTTTGCCCTGACAAACTTTTACCAAGCATTAATGCTAGTTAACTCACCAGCTCTTTGGCTAGAAAGCTAACCTAGCTAGGTGCTTCTTCTGCCCAAGTTTAGGCCTTGCCGAACCTAGCCCTTGGTCTGCTGAGCTGGACCTAAATATCACTCACAGGGTCTGTATTATGGCCCGACTGATATGATCATTTTGGGACAGTTTTGAATCACTTTAAGAAGCTAAAAATTGTGCCAACATAATATTGGCTGATATAAAAATGAAAATCAAAAATGAAACAGACACCAATAGTTTCAAGTAAACAATGTAATACTGAGAGATATGATTGACAGTTCTCTCATTTCAGAGGCTTAAATAAGCAACAGAAACTCAAAAAGTCTCGAAAAGATATCAAGATTGTAGGCTGGGGCAGAGCTTCACAGAATTCTCAGTGGTTTTGCTGTTTTTTGTTGATTACATCTTATGTTTTTTGTTATTATCATCCAAAATGACTCATTTCTATGAGTGACTCATTTCTATGACTACTTTTGGACACATTTTATGTGCTTTTTATTATTTTAACTGTGATGGTGTTTTGTGTGTATATATTGCCAGGTTAGCCTATAATAAGTGAATGGGTGGTGTCTGCCAGCTTAGAGGTTTTTATAAAATTAATGGTTTCTTCACATCAGCGGTGTCTGTTATTTAAAGAGTGCAACACACCACTAAACATCGGTGCTATATTGGTGGGATTTATTCTGGTACTTATAAATCCATGTCCTGATATATCAGTCGGGCCCTAGACTATTTCTTTCATTCTTTTTTTGTGTGCATGTGTATGTATGTGTTTTTGTGTGCAATGCCTTAATGAGCAATCATGTGAAATGTTATACAACTGCTGTAAAAATATATTAAAAAAAAAACTTTATCTTTTTGTTTATTTTGTACAATAAAAAAAGGTTCTCAAACATCATCTTTTGTCTTTTTATATAATTACTTATAGTTTGTAATTTTAAATAGTGTGTTAAGCAAATGATTGACAATGCAAGGACAAAATGTTACATATGATGTTCTATACAAGGTTCTAGACTGCATATGATAGAGAGGAAGTCAGAGAGGCAGAGAGAGACAAACCCTGCTCCAGATATTTTTGATGAGTCATTTTATTGAGATTTTTTTGAGTATATCTTTTTACTTCCATTAAGCCATTTTTTAATAAGCTTTTTAACAGATACTAATAGCTTCCGTTACAAAAAAGGCTTTAGAGACCAGCTGTAGTTACAAGTGATTGACTCATGTTTAAAGGGGCTACTACCACAAAGATTCTGAAACAGGAACGTGCAGAATATTTGAAAGTGTAGGTTCCTGTTTCTGAGGCCGAGTGTGGGTTTCCTGTTTTTGCTGATCGCTAGTTTACACTTCCTTCTTTAGAGTGCAAGCACATTCAGAGCAGCAGGTTTAAATGCCAGTCTAGTTTAAATGCCAGTCTGTATGGCATCACTCATATGTCAAAATATTATAAATAAAACTAACCTGTATTTAAGGTATAATTATTGAAATAAAAAAACTAAATCTTGTCATGAAATAAATGTTTTTCTTAATTCTGTGTGCCACCATTGCTGACACCCCTAGAAAGTCTTAAGAGTGAAATGTAACTGAAGTACATCCCCATTTTATATTTTAAAGTTGACCTGAGTGATTGGAAAGTACTATAATGGGTCAACCATGATATGAGATAAACGCAGCCCAGATGCCCCCAGTCATCCATCACTATGAGAAAGACCAGAGGAAACAGCAGTGATATAGGACAAAAGGTTGTTGACCTGCACAAATCAGGAAATGGCTACAAGAAAACAGCTAAACTGTTAAAAAATGGCCATTTCCACTACCAGGGCAGCAATTAAGAAGGTTAAAACAACTGGAGATGTTAAGAATGTGTCGGGAAGAGGACGTATGTCTATACTGACCCCAAGCACATTGAAGAAGATGGTTCAAGTGGTCAAAGAATCTCCAGGGATCACATTGCAATTGTGGAAATTAGGTAGGTCTTGTGGTCAGATTTTCTCCAAAATGACAAACAAACACCACCTATATGACCACAAGATACGTATAAACATATTTATTCCCTGTTAAGATTTAGGTTTTTCTTTTAGGCACTGTACTTCAAATAAAGATTAGATTTTGTTAATATTCTGAATGAAAGGTCAAAATGATAAACAATAATAATGAAAATCAGAAAAAATAGATACACTTGCTTTTTTTGGGCAGTGATGATATAAATGTATGTGTGTGTGTGTGTGTGTGTGTGTGTGTGTGTGTGTGTGTGTGTGTGTATGTGTGTGTGTGTGGCAGGGTTGGGAGAGTTACTTTATAGATGTATTCCAGGACAGATGACCTAATTCAGAGGATTACTAGGTCAAAGTAATGTAATATAATTACTTTCCATTACTTTTACATTACAAGCCTTTTTATTTAAAAGTATTTAAACAAATACTGGAGAAAAACAATTTCAGTAGAAGGACTTCCTAACATAAGATAAGCTGACATGCACAGTGATAAATTCTCATGAAAGAAAAAAATCAGGATCTTTATTTAGCAGACAAATTTACCTCCTAGAGACAAACACAAGCAAGAAGCTAATTATGACAAGAGTGATGTTATTTATGATCCTGCTAGTCACCACCCTGTTTTTATAAGGTACCTGTAATCTGATTACCATCTTTTTTTCTGTAACTGTAAAGAAATAAAGTTACCTTTTTTGTATCATGATTACATAATGCTGTTACACCGTCACTACCCAACCCTGATTATAATAGTCTCTATCAGTGGTTATTTCAAGCTTATTAATTGTTCTGGCGAAATGCTAGCTAGTTTATATTTTTAGTACAAGTCAATGTAGAACATTTCACTTCTCAATCATATAGAACTCAGGATGTCTTCAATAAGGAAAGATTCCACAACTTGACAGTCACCATATCTCAGACTGAGAAAATAAAGCATGAACTGAACTGAAAATACAGCAGTTAGTAGCACGCACAGGACTCGTTAAATGATTTTATGGTTTGAAGCCCAACAATTTACACCCCACTTACACAGAGACTAAACATACATAACGGATATGTATCCGAACCCAGTGATGTGAGCTACAGCCAAAACTTTTGGGAATGTATGAAAATCACTACACATCACTCTATGTGCTACTAACAAAGATGCTGGACGAAAACTGACCTGTATACAAAAAGACAGAACAAGCAACGCACCCGTCAGCAGGACAGGCCATCCATTTTCCTATAGTTTTACATGACAGTTTAATGAGGAAAGGAAATGGTCCACTTCGACAAACTGGGGCTTGATAATCAGCGCCAAATTTATGATCACCTGATGATCTGCAGTGTCAAGGAAAACTGCATCAAAAAGGTTCTAAATCGGAGTGCGTCATCTTCAGTTCCTTCCAGGTCACAGCTCCACAGAGATCAGCATTTTCTCTCTTCTAACAGTTTAAAATCCACTCATGATGGCCTTGCTAATTAGCTGATGAGTTTAATCAGGTGTGTTTAAAGAGGCAGAATGCTACACTCTGCAGAACTGCAGCCCACCTAGACTGGAATCCAACACATTCTCTAAACACAATATGGAACGCCACCCGGCTGGTCCTGTGTATCCTGAACTGTTTGAGACTGTGAAAGGAGTTGAAATAGCAAATTATACTAAAAAAATGAAGTCAATACTCATTACCACTGAAGGATATTTACTCTATCTGAGCCTGTTTAGTCTTTGAACTTGTGACTGTTATTGAAGATACTCCAACATGTTGGAAATTCAATACTATTAGGTCTTCAAGTAATGTGCTTTATCAAAAAAGTGTGAATTTCTTCCTTTTAATCTACTTTTTCCTTTGATACTGTTATTTCTGAGTGCATATTTTTGGACAGGTATACAATATAGGGAGCAAGGAGCTTTTTTTATATGGTGACAGAAAACACAGTAGCACACTGAAAGTTCCAATTACTGTGGGGGAAGATTTTCACAAGTTAAAGGGACAAAGACAAAGTCTCTGAATGTATCATTGGTGAGGCATTAGGTAGAATAACGTTAACCACATAAAACACCCCCACCCACTCATCCAAACATTCTCTTACCGACAGCGGTGGGTTGCCTTCATCCTCCACAGTGACGGTGAGTGTGTATTGTTGCTGTCTCTCTCTGTCGGGAGGTGAAGGTCGGGTCACTATCTCTCCGGTCATTCGGTCCATGCGGAAGGTGAGGTCCTGGTTGCCATCGGTGATGTAATAGGACAGCATGCCATTGGGCCCGATGTCTCGGTCAGTAGCGACCACACGCAAGACTGATGTGCCACCGCCTACATTCTATGGACACACACCAGAGTATGTCTCAATGACATCATTATTGAGCCTAGCATAAAACTGTGCATCAAAAGTTTGGGGACGTCTGGTTTTCGGGGGGATAAATGCTTTTAATGAAATGTTTATAATAAACCCTAATAGCCTGTTTTTTGGTTAATTTGCAACTTGATATATTAAACAGGCATTACTGATGATCATATAGTTTATGCATAGTTCTAATGAACATTTAGTATACAGTGTTCTCTATACTATAAGTATTGGAATGACGAGGCTAATTCTTCTGTTTTCTTCAGTTTGGAATTTGCCACCTGTGGAGAAGCCACAGAAAATCTGGGACAGGGTTTTATGGACCGATGAGATCAAGATTAACATTTACCAAAGTGATGGAGGAAGAAAGGATCTGCTCATAATCCAAAACATATAAGCTCATCTATGAAGCATGGTGGACTTAGTGTCATGGCATGGGATTGCATGGCTGCTCCAGGAGTGGCGTCACTAAGCTTTATTGATGTTACTCATGATGGCAGCAGTAGAATGAATTCAGAACTTCACAGAAATAGTCTGACAATTTAGAGAAATGCATCAGGAGGAAATCTAATTAGGAAGAACTTCATCATGAAGCAAGTCTGTGACCCAAAACACACTGCCAACACAACAAAAGACTCTGAAGAGGAGACTGAAGGGAGAACCCCCTCAAAACAAACAACACCTGAAAGAATCTGTGGTAAAAGCCTGGAAAAACCTCAGGTAAGAAAAACGCAACACTTTGGTGTTGTCAGTAGGTCACCAGGTTAATGCAGTTTTTGCAAGCAAAGGATGTGCAACCAAATATTATGTTATTTACTTGAATGTACTTTAAGACTACCTGCTCCTTTACTCATCTACAAATTGGGTGGCCTGCCACTAAAGGTGCCATGTTCTAAGTTGTTTGACATATTTTGATTGTAAATATAAGGACAGAAAAACTGAAATTCTGATCTATTGTCTCATATTCATCTTTTGATCTCAAGCCAAAAACAAAAATAAAGACAAAAACAAAAGAACTGGCCTTACCACTCCAATGCCTTTGGAAGAGACTGTAAATTTACATGTATGATATTGGTGCTCTCTATGTAAACATGGTTAGCCTTTTATATGTGACGTTACTGCAAACTAGCAAGAAAAGACAAAAAAAAAGAGAAAACGTGTATTAAAGCTTGCTAGTCAAAACGGCAATAGCACATCATGCGATCATGTCAATTATACAACAGTTAGTTCTGGCCACGCAAGCTGATTGGTTGAGAAGCGTTCTAACTGTGCTGTTATTTCTCCATAACATCACAGGTTTTTTCAACTCCTACTTTGACAGCTGTAGGAGATGATCAAGCCATTTGAATGGTTTTACTTTTTACTTTGCCACAAACCGAAAATGGATACTATTAAGATCACATTTGACCGACAGCTGATTTGGTCAGACTCTGAAGATGAGACTACACTAAATTCCTAAACTGTCAGTCGGTCTGTGTAAGGAGCTGAAGAACGAACTGCCAGCTGTGCAGCGAGTGAGCTGAGTCTGTTACTCTGATGTAGCAACAAGCTGCTTGTTAAGGAACTATAATTTGGCGGAAGGAACTGCTGACGTTAAAACATTAAACGCCGCGTTCACCGCCCAGTTTATTAATTTCTTACTTTATTCATTTAACTGTTGTATAAAAGCAATAGAACACTCGAGGGAGGGTGTTATCACAAATATTGTATTTTTTTATTTCGCAATAATACACTCCCTCTCGTGTTCTATTGCTTAAACGATATACTTTCAAACCACTGATTTTACCTCCCTGATTAACTCAAGGTTGTTCGTTTTTAATTTTGTCGGCTTCTTCAGCCATGACAACAAATAGGAGCTTCCCAAAGCCAACACATGGGAAAAAGGAATGGTAATGACAGCTGGAAAAAACATATGAAGATGACAAAATACTGCAAATATGTAAACTACACCTCACGGATGACTTTATAATGAGAACAATAAGGTGTAGCAAAAAAGCTGTTAATTTAGATAACTAGTGGAGGAACTGAATTTCTTGCTTGAAATTTTGTTTTTTAATTGCTTCATGCAATTGTCAAGCTGCATATAAATTATGCTGCAGGCAACTTACTGTATGGAAACAGTTGCGTTAAAGTTTTTTCTATATGGAAAAGCTTTTCCCTTTTCTTTAAATGTTGAAGTCTTGTGGGTAAACTTGCAGGCAGCTTTTTACAGCTGCAATGAGCAATGAGCAAATTTAAGCATGCATCAGCAGTATGAGCCCTCCTGCAGTTTAAGCCAATTAAGCCTAACAAGACCTAATGCTATATGTAAAGTCAGCCTAAGCTGTGTTTGAAAATCGCTGCAGCTAAAACACCAATAATGTACCACGTGATCATTTCAAATGAAACAACTGACAAGACATCACATCACAGAAAATAAAATTACCTGGTCTCTTGGAATAATGTTGCTTATTTGCTGGTGACTAGACAGCTTAGTTGTTTGCACTTGTTCTGTTTTGTTAATACTTTAAGGTCTTTGCAAAAAAAAAAAAATGTGATACAAAATGTGTAGATTTTATTTAGTTTAATCCAGAGGTGCTGAAGTGTTGTGATTGACAGATGGATTCATACTGACCTCACTGATGCTGACGTTGTAGCCACGAGGGCTCTGCACTACAGGAGCATTATCGTTCACGTCCACAATGTTTATGGTCAGGGAGTGGTCTGTAAACCTAGGAGGAGAGCCGTTATCTGTGGCCCGCACCTGTATGTACACACAAACATGACATGGGGTCATACACATGTCCCATATTAATGACTATCTACTGAATGCTAAAATAGTAATAATTGTGAGTATGTACTAGATTCCACAGTAGCACTATGGAATTTACTAAGCCTACGACAGCAACAGTTACACTGTAGCCCCATCAGTAGTGATGAACTAAATGTATGGCTCCAACAGCCACGTGAATATACACATAAGGATGTGTACCATGTACATAGTCTTGTATCATGCACTGTGGACTGGCAGTAGTACACTCATGTGTCAGGCAACAACACTTTGTTATGTGGTTTGACACATTTCACGCGAAAAGAAAGATGTATCGAGTTAAGGACGCAATGTGGTGTTTTTAACACGTCTTAGTAGACACAAATGACCCTTTCGGAGCAAGACATGCACTTGCTGGATCGAAAAAAGTTTGCAACGTTATGGGCCAGATTTACTAAGAGGGGCAATAATTAGACACTTTGCGCTGGTGTGGGTGGCTAACTTAGCTTATCTACTAAGAATTTAGCTTATCTACTAAGACGTTCCATGCAAATGAACATGCATGGATGTTCTTGCATGTTTCTTTGCATGGCGTATGTATTTAACATATGAGCAGCCTAACATAACCACATGCTTTTTGCATTGAAGACTGTTTCCGCCAGATATGAGAAAAAAGGCTGTGTCCCAAACAACACTAACAGTGTGTAAAATGCACCAACATTGAGTGAATTAAAGTGTAGCATATAAAGTACAGAGCTGTGTGTTTTGACATGCAGTCAACATGATTTTAATCATCTTATTTTGGTTCAAATTGGGTTGAAATAATTAGACTGACTTATTTTCCCAAGTACATGCAGGGTGTTTTAAGGCAAAGCAGTACATGGAGAAAACACATTTTTCAGTTTAGCATTATATTTCCATGATTAACATGTTGACACATGTAGTTTCACTTCTCATTGTGTGTGGTAAATAAACATTGCTATATTTGTGCTGAAGATATTGTGTCAACAGCAGTGCAAAAAAAATCAGTTGATAAGTTTCTGTAGAACGAAGCTTTGCACATCAAAAACTCTGAATGACTTTATTTAAATCTTAAAGACTAAATTATGCAGAAATTTGGAAAAAAATCGGCATTCTCCTTTAAGACACGTTGATGAGTGTAAAAAAACACACCTTCAGCTTTAGGAAATAGTCATTTCAACACTGTTTAACTAAAATGATTTTGTTAAGGTTTGTATTTCCTTCATCAAATTAAAAGTGCGACATAGCAAGCATTGTTTTTTTTATAATAGTTGGAAATAAATGTGTTCTCTTTCTTTCCTCTCTGAATTACAACACTGGCTGCCACATTACTAACAAAAATAAGACATGCTTTTCTCAGGCATTAAACAGCACATAGTCAGCATGTACTATCAGTCTATTACTAGTGTTTTGTGCTTTGAGAGTGAAGCTCCTACGAATGCATATGCAATTAGGCAAAAGTGCACAAGAGCAGCTCTGCCCCTTTTATCTTATTAGAGGTGCTAAAGAGTCATCGTCCCTTTTTAGTACATCATGACAGCTACTTTTTAACACCAAAACAAGGTTTGCGATGGTGCAAAATACTAGTAAATCTGCCCTGTACCTTAAAAAGTAATCACTGAGCTTTCTTAAAAGCAAGCAAATGCAACATTGTTGTGTGTTTCCCACTTTGTTTCATGTCTGTTTTTGCTGTAGAACCATTTTGACAGTCTGCCCCTACATATCATGCAAAAACAACAGTGTAGACTCGGTCAGTCTGCACGTCAGTCAAATGGCCCCTTCCTGTCAAAGTAGGCGGTCCTTGGCCACACTGAGCAATGAAACCTACCAGACTCTCTGGACAGTATTTGTGATTATGTGCTGTGGCTTCTACAGTAGATGAGATCCTCTCACCTTGAGCAGGTAGCGGTCTATCGCTTCTCTGTCGAGGGGGGCATTTACATAAATGTCTCCGTATGTGTTGTTAATCGTTCGGATCTCGAACACGTCCTGCATGTTCCCTGCCGCCAACGTAAAGTTCACCTGGAAGAAGAAGAGGGTTGAAAAAAGGAAGAATGACATGAGAACAGAAGAAAGAGAAGAGACAGGGGCCAGGAACAATAAATAATTACCTGTAATAATAATAATAAAACATGCATTTGTGATAACAAAAAGAGACATACACATAAAAAAATGATAGTTTGTTTATATATGATCTTTCTCACTGAAAAGCAGGCCTCGTTCATGATGTTATATACTCATATTTCTCATCTTGGCAAGCTTATACATACAACTTCTGAATTATTGGCACCCTTTGTAAAAATCAACTAAATAAATATATTAAATAAACCACACATGCAATGATAGTGATGTTTCAGGCTTAAATAAATGGGTAAGCTGCATCTTTTTATTTTTACACTGTATTTTGGAACAAAAAAAGTCTTTCTTTAGTAACCCTAATTAATAATGGGGCCCCCCTGATTCATATTTAGTAAAGTTTCCCTCTGACAAGAATAACAGTGCTGAGCCACTTTCTCTGAGGATTAAGAAGGAAGAACACATGTTCAGGGATCTTGGACCACTCCTCCATGCAGAACATTTCCAGTTCCTTGATATACTTGGATCGTGGACTGCCTTCTTCAACACACACAACAGGTCTTCAAGTGGTTTAAATCTGGAGACTGGTAAGGCCACTGCAAGACTTTGATTTTGTGTTCCCACAACCATTTCTGTGTGGATTTTAATGCATGTTTGGGGTCATTATCTTGCTGAAAGTTTCAGCCTTCTGTCAGAAGCAGAGAGGAGATTCTGGGCTAAAATCTCCTCATACTTCATCAGAATTCATCATGTCATTAATTTTTACAAGATCCCCAGGACCCCCAGCAGCAAAACAGCCCCAAAGTATCAATGATCCACCACTATATCCGACATGGATATCAGGTGCTTTTCATCGCATGTAGTGACTTTTTTCACCAAACGTGATGGTGTGCATGACCAAAAAGTTCGTTTTCATCTCATATGATCACATCACATGATTCCATCTGTAAATTTTGCAAAGTTCCTGGAGACAAGAAGCAATAAAACATCTAAAAACGCAAACTTTTTTGGTTTTATCAAAAATATTTTTTAGTGGTGCCAATAATTTTGCCTCAAATGTTTTTTGAAAGAATATACTATTCTTAAAATAAAACCAAAACTCTTGTAGGAATGATTTCTATTAAATAAATGAAACATAACTTTAACAAACGTTTTTGAGGAACATTTAAATCATCATATGAATTGTTCATTTTATATGACTGTTTTTGCCAATTTCTTTGAGGGATGCCAATAATTACGATGTTGACTATTTGTGCAGCACACTGAAAACTGATTGATTTGTGTAAACCATTTCCAAATGCATAAAATATGTTGAATTTGTATACAGTCATATGCATATTTAATATCTTCTATTCATGTAGAAATTTTGTGCATATTTGGGTCAAGCTAATTCAGTGCATTACTTGTTATCACATCTCTCTCTCTCCCTCTTTCTTTTTCCTCACCAGTCCATTTCTTCCAGCATCTCTGTCCCGCGCCAGCACCACAGCCACTCTCCGGCCCATGGGCGTGTCCTCTGGAACATTCACTGACAAGTCCGATGTGAGGTCAAACTCAGGGCTGTTGTCATTTTCATCGAGAATGGTTATGGACACCTGTCGCAAGTCCAGGAGTGAAGAGCAGGAAGTAAATCACCCTCAACCGAACTAAAGTAACATTTGGAGAGATTTACATTTGGCTTAGAATAATAAAAATAATGAACCATCTCTTACCTTCTACACTTGGACAAAATATTGGAAAAGAGACAAAGAATTTGGGTCAGACATGGGCATATTATGCTGATAATAATTTGTTAATTTAACTGTGTACTGAAAGTAAATAAATGAGGAATAAACAAATATGTCGGTACACTTTTCTTTATCCTTAAACAGATTCAGACAGTTTAGTTAATATAAGTTTACCACAGTGGAGCCTCTTTTAGGCCCTCCATCATCAGCAACCACAGTGAGGGTGTAGGAGTCGCCCTTCTCTCGATCAATCTGACCAGTTACAGTGATTCGACCCTGTGGAATACACACACGCATGAGGAGCACATACCCGTGCACACAAACCTGAATGAGGATATAAGTACAACACAAAATACTTGAAATAATGAAGGCACATTCACAACCTGGACACTGGAGAATGAACCTTTTAAGACCTCAGGTTAAAAGTGTCCACCTGGGTGTTATATTTATATCTCTCACTGTATGGTATGGTATGTACTCAATACTCTGATCATAATCGGATTTCTGCAGTTATCTGATTATTCAAATGGTCATGTAAACAGCACACTCTGATTTCTTAGATTGTAGTAAAGTCTACAAATCTGATTAAGAAATCCGAATCTGAATTTTAGCTAAGTAATCTTTCCCAGCGCATATAAACTCTTACTCTGATTTCTTTCGGATTTCTCAGACTGCACATGTGCGAAAACAGACCACGGTACCAGAAATATTCCGTGTTGCCATGAGACTTTTGGAGTGACACTGAAACCAACTACATGCTTGACGAAATAAAGGATTTTAATATTATTCATCTTCTAGATGATGTTTGTTCATATTTTCAGGTAAAGTCGTGCAATGTTTTAAAAAAAAAGCTGCTACATGAAGTTTGAGTTTCATGTTATGTTTATGTCACATCTTATTCTGTGAGTTTATTAGCTGGTTGAAAAGCAGAAATCCGATTACAGCCTGACTCATGTAGACCCGGAGTTTCCTCATTATCTGATTGCTCAAGTACAGGTAAACGAGTTGATCAGATTACTAACAAAATCTGACTTTCTGCAGTTATCAGATTATTAAGTGCATGTAAACACAGTCATGTTAACATTAAAGGTGAATGTCATGACAGATGTCACAATGTTTGATATCATGACAGCTTTCACACGATAACATTTTTGCTAAGTATTCCCTAGTTAGCCACCACGACATTAAACATTATGAAACCAGTCAGGAGAGTTACTGATAATAGTAACAGTATATTGTAATATTACTGGGCATAAACTGTTATGACCACTTATAACATCACATGACATCTGCTATGGCATATTTATGGCATGTGCTCTGTTGCAGAGTTTAAGTGTTGCCAAGACATTTATGTAGTTTTCCAGGTTTTAACCTTAGTTTCTCTGCTTGTGTTGTGATGTATTCCATGAAAATAGATTATGATTATACTTTGAGGAAATGTTCAAATAAGAAAGGCTCGCAGCTACATATTGCCGTACACAACATCCCTGTGTTACATCAAGAGAAACAAGATTAGGTCTTCTCACCGTGACACTGTCGATCTTGAAGAGGGCGAGTGCAGCGGGGGATGTGTCTGGGTCAAAGCGATAGGTCAACTGGTTCAGGTTATCAGCCGACTGAGCCCGCACCTGGATCACCTCCGTTCCTGTGGCAACGTTCTCCCGAAGCAAGGCTTCATAACCAGCCAAAAGGAAGGCCACAGCCTCGTCCAGCTCGTTCAGCAGAGTTACATACACGGTGCAGAAGGCCCGGTTGAAGGGAGGGGCCTGGTCTGTGGCTGAGATGTTCATCAGGTAACTGGTCTTGGTCTCGTAATCCAGGTAGTCCACTGTGGTCACCAAACCTGTGCTGATGTCCACCTCAAACTTACGGTCCGAACCAGCAACCATAGCATATGATACTGCACCTCCATCTCCTAGAGAGCGGGCGAGAGAGTTTGAACCAAATCAGTCCTGTTATACAGTCGTATCCAAAAGTGTGGGCGCCCCTGGTCGAATGCCGTTTTCTTGATTTTCTAAGTGAAAATGACCATAGAGAACACACACCGCACATTTTAATGTACAATTAGAGTTTATTTGCTGATGTTCTAAAATTTTGCAGAAAACTGCAATTTATATGCCTGCTAGCTTACTAGTATTTTCTCACCAAGAACCCACCTTTCTCGACCACAGTCTAGCTTTTGGTTTCTATCAGTTTTCCTTGTGTTTCCTGCTCATTGATTCCTCAGCTTTCTTTGTTCTTGCCTGCTGTATCACCCCAACTGTTAAAACGGATTTCAATAAAAGTGACTCACAACTACATCCTGCCTCCTCAACTCCTTCCTACCATGTTGCAAGCTGGACACAGTGAAAGGAACAAATTACTTTCAATATTACTAACCTAATCAGCCATCTGAAAACTCATTATCATGACTGGATATTGGTATTATTATCATCCGCTACAAGATGTTAATCATCAGTTATTGTTATTGAAATCCACATGCTCTTCATTTAGGCTTTTGGTTATTTATACCACTTTCCAGTCCAGTGATTTGACACTAGGTGGCTGATCAGTTAAAGGTGTATGCAAAAGTTTGGGCTCCCCTGGTCAAACTACACAGATCAGGCATAACATTACGACCACCTCCTTGTTTCTACACTCATTGTCCATTTTATCGGCTCCACTTACTATATAGGAGCACTTTGTAGTTCTACAATTACAGACTGTAGTCCACCTGTTTCTCTGCATACTTTGTTAGCCCCCTTTTACCCTGTTCTTCAGTGGCCAGGACCCCCATGGACCCTCACAGAGCAGGTACTATTTGGGTGGGGGATCATTCTCAGCACTGCAGTGACACTGACGTGGTGGTGGTGTGTTAGTGTGTGTTGTGCTGGTACGAGTGGATCAGACACAGCAGTGCTGCTGGAGTTTTTAAACACTGTGTCCACTCACTGCCCACTTTATTAGACACTCCTACCTTGTCAGTCCACCTTGTAGATGTAAAGTCAGAGACGATAGCTCATCTGTCGCTGCACAGTTTGTGTTGGTCATCCTCTAGTCCTTCTTCAGTGGTCACAGGACGCTGCCCACATGACGCTGTTGGCTGGATATTTTTGGTTGGTAGACTATTCTCAGTCCAGCAGTGACACTGAGGTGTTTATAAACTCCAGCAGCACTGCTGTGTCTGATCCACTCGTACCAGCACAAATAAAACCGCAACTGTGTTTAATGTGTGTTATATATTTTGTTCATGTAAACATGATGCAGACTTCAATCAAGTTCCCTCAGCACATCACTGTTTTCTGTGCTCTAAGTAAGACTGAACGGTGTGTGGACATGCGTTTATGTGTGTATCATGGGAAGTGAGAGAGGGAAGTCTTTACACACTGTCTCAGGACTTGCACGTCACCATTAGCAACAGTGGAAAACTACCAGAGAGGAAAGCCAACATGCAGAAGAGCATCAGATCCTTGAAATCTTTAAAAAGCTACAAATAGAGAACAAATCCAAACAGCAGTGAGTCAATATAATGATTGTCCTTTTGGGTGTCTCTCAAACGGACCGTAAATAGCAACTTTTGACTTCTCATGTGATCTGCTTTGAGGATGCAAAACCCAACCATGTTTGTAGCTATTCAGTCCATTAGGAAGTGCACAGCAATACGGAAAAACATTAGCAGACCACTAATACCGCACCATCCGTGTTAACTAGTACTGATCTCCAAGGTTTTTGCATAGCTGACATATTATGCAAAAGCTACGTCCATAGTTTCAAAGCCTAAGGGGGTTTCATAAAGTTCTAAACATACGCTTTTAAAAACAGAGGTGCCTAAAAGAGTTCTTCGTACTAAAGAACCACTTTTAGTTTAGTGGATGGCTCTATAAAGAACTATTTTTGTAAATGAGGTGTGCAAGTGTGAAAAACTGTTTAAAAGTTCAAAGAACCATTATGTGAAAGTTTTATATCAATTAAAGCTCTTTTAACATCTGTCCTAGAGGCCTAGAAAGACACTAAAAGTAAACAGGATCACTTTCGACCAACAGATATTACACTGACTTCTTGTCAGATGATCTTCTTTTTGCATTTTCATATAGGAAATTTTCCAAAAAAATTACATTTAGACATGTAAATGACATGTAAATACTTAAATATGCCTTCATTTGCACATTTCTTTAGAAAAAAACAAAGCTACAGTTGCCTTGGGGTGTATTTCTTGGGGGCAGAGAGTTCACATTTCATCATTACATAGAGGGAAGGCAGATAGCTAAAATAACTACTAGGAAACCAAATACCTGTAACAGCCTCTACATCACTGCTGGATTATTTTGGTACGATTCTAAATGACTCTTTAAAATACAGAGAACATTCAAATGTGACTGAAGGAACTATTTTCACGGTAGTGAAATGTAGACAAAAACTGATAAACCATGCCTTAGTGCTTTTTTACATTTGAAAATGGGCAGCGAATATCGTTATGGCCTAAAACTGAGCACGTACTTGGTTTTAGTCTATTATAATCAATTATAATTGATTTTAACATTCCAAAATCGATGCAGCTGAATCCACATTTTCAGAGTGATGCATCATGATTACCGATGCACTTTTCCATCTATAATTAGTTGGGTGGATTTTACTGTAATTATGCACCTGTGTCTGGGTCAGCAGCTCGAACCACGATAACAGAGGTTCCGATTCCCGCGGTCTCTCTGAGTCCCAGCCTGTTGTACTGCTGCTGAGTGAAGACAGGACGCTCGTCATTGACATCCTCTACATACAAGATTACCTACAGAGAGAAACACACAGAGAGAGAAAGAGAGATAAAGAGAGAGATAAGGATGTTCTCAGAATCTGAGTGGCAGAGGTTCATCTCATAGATGGCTATCAAGCTCACACATAGACACACAGACATATATATATATGTGTGTGTGTGTGTGTGTGTGTGTGTGTGTGTGTGTGCATTCTAAAATAATGTTTCTCTGCATACTTTGTTAGCTCCCTTTCACCCTGTTCTTCAGTGGTCAGGACCCACCACAGGACCACCAGAGAGCAGGTGTTATTTGGGTGGTGGATCATTCTCACCACTGCAGTGACGTACACTGATGTAGTGGTGGTGTGTTAGTGTGTGTTGTGCTGGTACAAGTAGATCAGACACAGCAGTGCTGCTGGAGTTTTTAAACACCTCAGTGTCACTGCTGGACTGAGAATAGTCCACCAACCAAAAATATCCAGCCAACAACATCCTGGGGGCAGCATCCTGTGACCACTGATGAAGGACTAGAGAATGACTAACACAAACAGATGTGGTACTCTTTCTAACTTTATATCAACAAGGTGGACCACAAAGATAGGTGGAGTTTAAAACTCCAGCAGCACTGCTGTATCTGATCCACTCGTACCAGCACAACACACACTAATATGCCACCACTGCATCAGTGTCACTGCAGTGCTGAGAATGATCCACCACCCAAATAATACCTGCTCTGTGGTGGTCCTGTGGGGGTCCTGACCACTGATGAATGGAGTAAAGGTGGGAAAACAAATTGTGGACTACTGTCTGTCATTGTAGAACTATAAAGTGCACCTATATGATAAACTCACTGATAAAAGGACACTGAATTTAAATACAAGGTTGGTGTATCTAATAAATTGCTCAGTGACTGAATGCTTACTGGTCACTTTGTAGCTCCTCCTAGCAGTGTCACTGATGTGTAAAAACTAGGGTTGACAAATGATTTCTGTAGAAATCGCAATTAATTGCATTATTTTGTGTAGTTAATCACATTCATTTCTGCCCTGCTAGAGCTGCCCCAGACAACAGTAAGTGCCACAAAACAGTAGACCACACAAACTCACAGATTGGGGTTGCTGAGTGATGAAACATATAAAAAATCGCCTATCCTCTGTTGTGTTACTTACGAGTTCCAAACTGCCTCAGCACAAAACTGTGCACCAGGGGCTTCATGAAATGGGTTTCCATGGCCAAACAGCCGCACATAACCCTAATAACACTATGCACAATGCCAAAGTGTGCACAAATTGTTGGCTGAAGTGGTGTAAAACACGACGCCACTGTTCTCTGGAGTGATGAATCATGCTTCACTATCTGGTGGTCTGAATCTGGGTTTGATGGATGCCAGGAAAACGCTAACTACTGGAATGCATAATGCTAACAGTAACGTTTGGTGGAGGAGGGATAATGCTCTGGGACTGTTTTTCAGGGTTTGGGCCCTGTAGTTCCAGTGAAGGGTAATGTTAATGCTACAGCATACAAAGACATTTTAGACAATTATATGCTATATATAATTATATATATTATATAACTTTATGGCAAAAATTGGGAAGGGCCTTTTCTGTTTGGGCATGATTGTGCCACGGTGCACAAAGTAAACTCCACAAAGACATAGTTTGATGAGTTTTGGGGTGGAACTCCAGTGGCCTGCACAGAGCCCTGACCTCAACCCCACTGAAAACCTTCGGGATGAACTGGAAGATCAATGCTCTTTAGACTAAATGGGCACAAATTCCTACAGACACACTCCAAAATCTTTTGAACAATCTTCCTAGAAGAGTGGAAGCTTTTATAGCTGCAAAGGGGGGCCAACTTTACATTAATGCCCAGGGTTTTATAATGAGATGTCCAATAAGCTCATATAGTTGTGATGGTCAGGTGTCCACATACTTTGGCCATAAAGTGTATATTATGTATACAGTCAATGTTGTAGCATCTTTCTCATATACTGTTACGTCTTGTTTCAATGGTAACAATAGCTTTCCACTTTACTGTTTTGTTAGTTTGCTGCTCATTGATTTATCCACATAGAGGTGCAAAATATCCACTTCAGAAAACACACACACCCTGACGGAGCTCCTCATGCTGCCCTGGTCACTGTTGTAGGCCTCCACCTCCAGCAGGTGTGAACTACTTGTCTCTCTGTCCAGCGCTCGCTGCCCACGAGTGATCAGACCAGATAGGAGGTCTATACTGAACTGACCACCACTGTTACCTAAGGAGAGAAACACAAACACAGATTCTGTATTATTAAACTCAGAAGGGAGTGACTAAATGGTTGAGATGTGGTTTGATGTGAAATGCTCCATTCTAGAGAAACTCCTTGTGTCAGACAGGAACCAGATGTCTGAAGTGTTTAATGCCTCTAAAAGCCCCCTCACTGACAGTTATTGCACTAGTTACAAAGACACTTCCTGGTTTTATGATAGTTTGAGACTGAGTTTTGGCCTAAAATGTATGTTTTAAAAGCCATTCATGGTGGAAATATGCAGGGTGCTATAAGGCAAACAGGGCTATTCTCTGGTGCATAAATAATAAGACATACATGAGTACATATGCACTAGTGCGATTAACAGACTATATGTACAACCCCATGTCCAAAAAAGTTGGGTGACTTGCACATCTATGAAGGCACCATTAATGCTGAATGATATATACATGTTTTGGCAACATATGCTGTCATCCAGACAATGTCTTTTTTCAGAGAATGCCTTGCTTATTTCAGCAAGACAGTGCTATACCACATTCTGCATGTAATACAACAGCATTGCTCCATATTAAAAGAGTCCGGGTACTAAACTGACCTGCCTGCAGTCCAGATCTGTCAGCCACTGAAAACATTTGCCGCATTATGAAATGAAAAATAGCAGCTGAATGAAAAAAAGCAGCTGAAATCCTAGATTAAACAAGAATGGGAAAACATATCACTTTCAAAACTACAGCAATTGGTCTCCTCAGTACCCAAAGAGTACAGAGTGCTGTTAAAAGAAGAAGTGATGGAACACAGTGGTAAACAGGCCCCCTTCCCAACTTTTTTGGAATGTGTTGTTGGCATCAAATTCAAAATGGGCATATATTTTTGTGTGCAAGATTTATGCAGCAATTTCAGAAGTAGGTCCAGTGTGTAAATTATACTTAAGTGTTCAGCAAACAATGTATAAATGTTTGTTTAGGTGGTCATTTCAGTAACTCAGCAGTAACATGGAGAGAGTTCAGAATTAGATTAATGTGCATAGAGTATTGTTTATATTCATGTTCTGGTGAGTGCTGTGGTTTAACAGCTTGACAGTTAACAGCTAATCAAGATACTTTTATCTTGTTTAGTTTTTAGCACTATTTCTGCATGCACTTGTATTGCTCAATATGTGAGGACACTTTGTCCAACATTGTGCAGTGCACTGACACACATCACACACCCAAACTTTAAGGCCAAATAGCCATTCTTTTTCACACATGTATGCTCTAAAAGTATTATGACAGTAATTAAGTGCTAACTCATCACCACACAGCTGCTGTGCATGAACATCTAATGTGCAGTTGATAACAGTGGAGAGAGCAAAGCACTTCTGTAGTGCTGAGCAGTCCTCACTGCCTGTGGTGGAGACACACCGCAGTGTTTGCATGGCTGTGGTTTCTCAAGTGTTCTTGTGACTTCTTACATGTGGGGCCTTTTTCAGGCACTGTTTTCTGTTTATTGTGTTTTTCCATTTTTGCACCACAGTGTGCACTTTTGTAATGCATTGTGTGAGCACGTCTGGATAAGGCATTCAAAGTGTGGGAGCAGCGTACAGGAAGAAAACTCACCCGAGAGAATTCGGTACAGAACCCTGCCATTCTCTCCCTGATCAGCATCCGTAGCCTGGACCTGTAAATACACACACACACACACACACACACACACACACACACATACACATACACAGAATTGTTTTTGTTTTGTTGTCAGGACGTGGGGTCATACATTTGTCTCATACATACATATCCTACAAACATATATATATATATATATATATATATATATATATATATATATATATATAGCTTTCATTCATTCTTCTTAGCTTTTAAAAAAATATGCAGGGATATTTTTCCACATCTTGAAAGTTCAGTCTACATTCTTAATAGAAGTTGGCTCTTTATGGGTTCTTTGCATCATGAAAGAGTTCTGAGGAATGTGCTGCAGATGGTTCTATATATAACCTTTTTGATGGGCTCTACAGAGCACCAAAAAGCGTTCTTCTATTGTTACAGTGTCAAGCTTGTAACAATAGAAGAACCCTTTTAGGTGCTATATAGAACCCTTTTCAAAAAGGTTCTATATAGAACCATCTGCAGCACATTCCTCAGAACTCTTTCATGATGCAAAGAACCCTTTAATCATGCAAAGGGATTTTTGAGTGTTAATGGTTCTATACAGAATCATTTTCTTTACTAAAGAACCCTGGAAGACCTTTTTTTAAGAAAGCATCTAATCTAAGTAATCTAGCTCTAGTGTTAATCTTCTTTTTAAATGTATTTTCTTTTCTCAGTAACAGCTTCCTGACAGCTACACATCCTTCCAGACACATAGTGTTTTCTCTTCTCTCTCAAAGATGAAAGCTTGAAGGGCTGTTTATCTGATGTGGACAGGTTTGGTGGTCCACCAGGTCTTGCACAGTTGTTGTGAGTCTCATTTTTTATATTGTTTAATAATGTTTTGAACTCCAGTTTTGGAAACTCCTGATTTTTCACTTATTTTTCTTTAACTTTCTCCTTCTTTATGGCAGTGGATTATCTTATATTTTATGTCTTACAATAGTTCTAAGACAATAAGATAAGCTTTCTACACATTTTGTGTGTCTGTGGGAAGTTTTGCTCATTCATCCAGAAGAGCATTTGTGAGGTCAGACACTGATGTTGGGCGAGAGGACCTGGCTCACAATCTCTGTTCTATTTCATCCCAAAGGTGTTTGATGGGGTTGAGGTCAGGGCTAGGCCAGTCAAGTTCTTCCACACCAAACTCACCCAGCCCTGCCTTTATGGACCTTGCTTTGTGCACTGGGGCTCAGTCATGCTGGAACAGAAAAGGGTCTTCCCCAAACTGTTCCCACAAAGTTGGAAGCATAGAATTTTCCAAAATGTCTTGGTCTGCTGAAACAGTAAGATTTCCCCTCACTGGAACTAAGGGTTCTAGGCCAACCCCTGAAAAACAACCTCATAGCATCATCCCTCCTCCACCAAACTTTACAGTTGGTACGGTGCAGTTAGGCAGGTAACGTCCTCCTGGCATTCGCCAAACCCAGGCTCATCCATCAGACTGCCAGACAGAGACGTGTGATTCATATGTATATATATATATGAAAGCGTAAAATCAGAAACCAGTTTTAAATGCATGCATTGTTATAGTAATGAAAGTAACACCTGCACAGTTGAGAGTGCGAAAACAAACTTCAGTCTACAGCTGGTGACTTATACACACATAAGAACAGAGAATGGTGGGCACATCCAAACAATGATGTGTTCATTTTTAAAACTCTTAATAAAATTGCCATCTGACTCTCTTTTCACTGCCTGCTACAGTTAGGTGGTTGTCAAGACAACAACAGCTTCACAATAGCAGCCTGAGACACACACACACACACACACACACACAGGCTGAGAAGGACCCCTTCTAGAGACACATTAGTTTTATAAAGAGATTTGGGGAAGGGAAGAAGAAAGTGGGTGAGAGAGGAGGAGGGGGAGAGAGAGAGAAGAAAGGGTAGGGGGTCACTTTGAGATTGATGAATAGGGCATGCAGAGTGGACTGTACCATTCTGGGCTCGGTAGGGGTCAGAAACTTTGGAAAAAAAAATATTTCTGCAAAGAGTCTGTAAATGACTGTCCACACAGAGTAGCTTGACAGTATAAAGGCCTTGGCTTGGTGAATTTAACTGACCAGTACTGTCTCTTGCACTGCTGAAACAAATTCAAAGCTGTGGGCCACTTAATGCACCCTCTCGGCCCTCGCTCCACTCTCTCTCTTTTTCTCTTCCATGTAAGAGCTCCTTCCCGGCGTGGAAGAAAGACAGAAAAGGAGGGAAGACTGCAGCACACAGCACAACATACTGTTGCTTAAGGTAAAGTTTTATTTAAACAGACTATTGACCATCTACACTCTTAAAAATAAGGGCCGTGAAAGAGGGTTCTCTGGAGCGATGCCATAGAAGAACCGCTTTAGGTTCCCTAAAGAGGCTTTGAAAAGATGGTTCTTTAAAGAACTGGTTTTAAGGTTAAAGAACTTTCACATTATACAAATTAAAAGTTTTCCAAAAAAACACATACATCCAAGCCAAGAACCTTTATTTTTAAGAGTGCATGCTAATGTTAATGATGTAATATCGGTGATGATAATTGCTACTAGTAATAATGGGACATCTGGCTAATTGCTGATGAATATTCAACAATGTATTTTGAATGGAGTGAAGAGTTATTTGAGCGCATCCTTTGTGTGCATATTCGTCGATGATGTAACCGAACTTTCTCTGAAATGGTAACTACTGAAACTATTGAAATGTTTTTAACTTTTATATGAAAGTGAAGATGCTGGTATATAAAAGACATGGGCATTTAAAGGGTCCATATCCTACTTTTTTGTATTTTATTTTTTCTATTTTCTACTTATGATGTTTGTGCAGTTTTATAACACATATTTACACAATAAGTTAACACATCATCTACAGAGAACACACTTAAATTTGTCATTTCTCTGCAAAGATTTAGTCTAACACACTGGAAAAAAACGAAACAAAGTATAAAATGCGCTATAACATTTGCACAGGCCATGTTTTATATTAAATTTTTATTTTTAATACGTGAAATCCAGCAAATGAACAGTTTTTGTGTATTAATGTGTTCTCTGTCGGGGATGTTTTACTTTTTTCACTTAAAAAAACAACACAACATGGGCCGCCAAAACTTTTGCAAGCGACTGTAAATCACATCTGCTCTGATGGGCTGTCCTGCACTGTCTCATTCAAGCAGTCTGGGCTGAAACACTTCATAGAACTTTGTATAACTGGGAGGGGCTAAACTGCTGTAGGCTGATTAGGCGGAAATACGTCAATGTGTTATTTTTTGTGACATCACAAAAAGTGAGTTGAATGGTCTGTTTTTGTAGCTTAGATTGCATATATGGACTGTATGGACTGAGGAGTGAATGTTGTGTCTTGAAACTGTAAAGAGCCCACATGCTATATTTGTCTTGTATATTATTTAAGGTCTGCTTATGATGTTTGTGCAGTTTCATGCACCAAAAACTGTCATAATTCATTTTTACATGATCAATTTCCAGTTTCTCTTTATCCTGGAGAATTAAACAGGCTGTTTTTGTTACTGTACCTTTAGGGCTGATTTATGTAAATGAGCTCTGTTCTGACTGGATGCTCTGTTTTTGTGCTTCATTCAACAAGGTCAAACACTTCTTATGACTTCAGCTTGTGTAGGATGGGCTAAACTGCTGTATGCTGATCTGGTGGATACATGTAAATGTGCTGTTTTTTGTAACATCACAAAAAGAATGAATTAAAAACTAACTTTTTTTGTAGTTTAGATTTCATGTATGGACTGGGGACTAAATGATACGTCTTGAAACACTGAGTACATTTACATGCACTTAATAATCCGATAACTGCAGAAAATCTGGTCAACACGTGTACATGCACTTTCTGCTTTGCAACCAACCAATAAACTCAGAAGAAGTCATGACATAAACGTAATGTAAACTCTAATTTCTCGCTGCTGCTTTCTGTTAAAAAAAACATTGCGCCACTTTACCTAAAAATTTGAAGATACATCATCTAGAAAATGAAGAACCTTTATTTTTAAGAGTGCATGCTAAAGTTAATGATGTAATATCGGTGATGATAATTGCTACTAGTAATAATGGGACATCTGGCTAATTGCTGATGAATATTCAACAGTGTATTTCGAATGGAGTGAAGAGTTAGTTATTTGAGCGCATCCTTTGTGTGCATATTCATCGATGATGTAACCGAACTTTCTCTGAAATGGTAACTACTGAAACTATTGAAATGTTTTTAACTTTTATATGAAAGTGAAGATTTAAATGTTTCATTTCAACAAGGATGTAGTTGGTTTTAACGTCGCTCCAAAAGTGTTTTGCTGCATCTCGCGGCAACGCTGCTTGCTTATTTTCAGCACAGCAGTCTGTTTTGCATATGCGCAGACTGAGAAATCCGAAAGAAATCAGAGTAAGAGTTTACATGCACTGAGAAATCTGACTACTGAGCCAGAATCCAGCTCTCTTTATTAGATTTGTAGACCTTACTCTGATCTTAGAAATCGGAGTATGCTGTTTACATGACCACTTGAGTAATCAGATAACTGCAGAAATCTGATTATGATCAGATTATTGAGTGCATGTAAACACACTCAATGTTCACATATGGCACTGAAATCCTTTATTTTAAAATTGTGAGGAAAATTCAGTTTTGGGCCCTTTAAGACTTGAGTGTATTATAAGAGTATATATATGTAAATATATATATATATATATATGTGTGTGTGTGTGTGTGTGTGTGTGAGAGAGAGAGACTGATTAAGGCTTTTTCTAATCAGGGCGCCTGCCTTCATGGCCTTTTCGCCGCATTTCTGCCATTTGGACTAATTTCACGTCCCGATGTGTTTTCACTAAACAGTTAAGCCTCACTTTGATCGCCCCGACTTTAACATGCTGACATTTGCGAACGCTACTGAGCGGAGAGAGACTGAAATTAGTGATTGGTGTACCGAGAATGTGTGTGATGTAAAACAGTGTGGACGCACGTTTTATATGGCGGGGGGGTATTTTAATAAACCCAATTTATATTATGTTACAAAAATACT